TAGGAGCACCTGGATGGCTGGGATGATTAATTCCTGCAAAGAAAAAGAAAAAAGAAAGAAAACTTGCCCACCGCGGTGCTCCTTCTCTACGAGAGCCCTTATTTAAAAACTGGCATGTCCGTGATATAACACGACATAACGCGTTTCATTGAGTTCATTTCTTGATATGCCGACATTGTGATAGGTGCCCCCCAACTACATTTTCACCCAGGTCAGATGCTGGAAGCCGAACCACGCCGTCTACTACTTCGCAAAAGGCAATTTTCTACTATGGGCCTCTACATCAAGAAGTCATGCAGACACGCTTACTATTACCTGGTTGATAGCTCTCCTTACAGCCGGGTACAAGTCAGATGATTCCGATGTCTACTGCACGCAAAAGAAATTCACCGCTCGCGGCATGTCACTGTGGACAATGTGTCGCGCACAAGCCGCAAGCGCTGGAATGATTTACACGCACTAGTGGCTACAATGATGGCGATTCCTGACCTCTACTCATGCACCCTTCTCACAGATAGAGGAAAAGCCGGGTGGAGTCTCCTGTGGATGGCTTCTATTGAAGGTTCGCATTGCGATGTGGAATCATTCTAACCATGATTCTCTCTATCCCAGATGAATGGATCATGGCAAGGGTGCATGATAAAACCGGTTTGCTGGTTTGGTAATCTGCATGCACAACGGTGTAAACATCATCAAAAAGGTGCAAGTAACCGGCTATTCCGCTGACAGACTCAAGTAAACCAAAGGTCCTTGATTCACTGCCGAAAACTTCTATAAGCAGAGTCCAGGAGCTATCTTTCTCATCAGTTATCCATAACACAGAGGACTGGGAATGCGGTTGGAGGCCTTCTTAATCATATACATTTTTCAAGCATATTCACCCAAAAGTTGAATAGAGTTTTATTACGGATTGTCTACCCTTAAAGATACTGATCAAGTAAAGTTTCATTGCTCACTAATGATTATCGAGGCTAAGATGTTAGGGTTACAACTTTGAGAACTAAGAATTTCTGTTTGAGTTCGAGACGAGCAACGTTTGGCCACTTCTCTCCTTCCTATGAACATATTAATCTGCGCCACTTGCAATGCATTATTTTGGCACAGGAAAAACTACTTTAACCCCCACCCTCTCACATTCCCCACCCTTGGTTGGAGATATCATAAATCTATCATGTGACACGTTTGTAGTAAACGATAAAATCGTTTTCAGTGTGTTGCTTCCGTAAAGGAAACGGCTACAGTCGAAAAAGTTCGAAAACATTCGAATCTTGGAGAAATGCTATATCAGACATTTCCACTTGTGAGATTGTCAATGTAGGTAAACTGTTGCCAAATGTAGTTACAACACCGAATAACTCAGAGCACAACGTTCCTCTCACGTTGCAGCCATTAGGATCCGATTGCTGCACGGCCGATGCCGGTGTAGAGGCTAAAATTCGCCACAGGACTCTTACATGGTATCCTGAACTTCATCTTCAGAAACAGTCGATTATTCGTCGTAACTTTATGGTGAGTTACAGTAAGCTGTCAGGAAAGCGAATGTCAAATGTTAGAGTTGCGGAACCCAGCTAAAATTTTAGAAAATAGATCGGTCACAAATATCCAAGCATCCACCACACAAAGGCGTTGGCACGCCAATAACACCCGAAGGCTATTTGGAGCGGAAAGCAAAATACAAAGAGTAGGATTGTAGTTTTCATATTAATCTTTGGTCAAGGTTATTTAAGTCGAACAACTTCTGCAGCCGGCACATCACTTGGGACACTGAGTGCCCTGTTTTCGTCGTGTATGGTTATGATCCTTGCCGAGGTGAAATCGAGTATGATGAAAATACAATGGACGATGCGAGTTTGAGAGAAGGCGAAGAAATTGAAAAGAACATCGACAAGGTACTTCGAGAACGAGAGTAGGGGGGATGGATTTTCAATAAGCGGGTACAAAATGACCCCAAACTCCAATTCCACTTAGAAACACAGCTCTGAGCAAGCTCATCTTTGAACAAAAATTTGCCGAAGAAGTAACAAATCTATTCAGATTCTCGCCAACCCTCGTACACCTGACAAAGAGCCAGCGCAAAAGAATCCCTAGAATGGTGGTTGATAGACAAATCTCTATATAGCCAGTAGCTAGAGTCTTTCCTATTCAATTACTACCTGTTGTTCCTTCAATGTTGTAAAACGTAATCAAATAAACTATGTACTTTAAGATCGCCTTTTCCAGAAAAAAAAAACTTTTCCGCCTTTTCCAGAAAAAAAAAAGTTCTTTTCCTATCAACAGGCTTGGCATTGATTCCGTTGAAGAAAACCTCTCTATTGATATCAAACAAATAGTTAAACTCGCCCATTGACCTTTCTCGAAATTCAAATGATAAAACACAGTAAGATATAGCTTCATAATGGAAAAGATGAATAAACTTGACTCGAGAGCTAAGCCACAGAAAATTAGCATGAAAAAATGAGAAAAATCTGTTTGAAAGGTAATTATGGGTACAAACTCACAGACATGCCGAGAAGCTGCGCAGCTTCCATGAGCAAAAGGAAACAGCCCCTTGTTTCAACTTCCATTTTTGCGAGAGTAGCAGTGTGAAGTGGCCAGTTCTCCTGTGTTTGACCAAATACCTCACGCCGCGTGGAGTAATCACGAGCCAAGGACAGCATTCTAAAATCAAGACAATCTTCGGCTACCAACTAAATCACACCATTATGAACTGCAGTTAGGCCTTTTATAGTGAAGCCATTCTGTTTTGCAGGTCAATATTTGCTAGTTCTAATGAATAAGTAAGGGTATAGCCCACTTAATCAGATCTACCAGCCCAGCTTGAAAACTGGCACTCGCAAAAGTTAAGCCACAAAATAAATAATGCTAGGATCGAGCAAAGATGAGACCAACCTCCTCATTCCAGATACGGAGGCCACTGCATTATGAATTCTTGTTATGTTCAACATATTGGCAATGTTGGCAACGCCTCTCCCGGGTTCACCAATGCAATGGGCGAGAGTGCCGTCTAACAGTAGCTCAGCAGTTGGTAACTAAACTGTCATCTCTTAATCAACCTATTGACTAGAGTTCGATAGTTTTTCGCTTCCTCATGAACACAGATCACTGTGGAACAATACGAGAAAGATAGAGAGCCAAATAGATGGTTCACCTGTTTAGTTCCCAATTTATTCTTTAGACGCATCATCTGAATCCCATTCAGTTGGCCATCATTATTTCGAATTTTCAGCAAAAACAGTGAAAGACCGCGTGAGCCCTGCGAACAAGAAAAACAATCAAAACAAAAAACTTCTGTGGAGTTAAACGAGGGTAAATAGCTACCAACTAACCACAAGAAACATTTTTCACTGAACTATTCGCTGAAGCCAAAAAATTCGTAGTAAGTTGATTGAACCAACTTTCTGTGCGTTGCCATCTTTGTCGACAATGCGTGCCAATGTTAAGGCGACATCGGCATCTATAGCGGAGCTGAACCATTTGTATCCATAAAGGCGGAACTACAACGAAACAGATTTTTTGCGATTACGAATCTGTGGATTAACAACTGATGTGCCTGACAATTGACTTCGCAAGATCCTTACAGCCAGCTCTGCTACAGCGATCTGGGAAATTACCAAGGGCATTGACATTAAAAATGACATCTTACCCCTTGGGGTATGTCACCTTAAAAGTTTTCTACTACAGCTTTCTGTGGGTACATTCTTCAGCCAATCCCTTCCCTTCAAATTAGAAAATTTGACTCTTTTCCAGTGCAGAATTACAGGAAAAAAGGCCGTGTAGTGTCACATGACACACTATCACAGACATGATCCGGAGATTGTATGGAAAACATTACATGAGTCCACGTAACCAAGCCTTCCATCCAGCCTAGTTCGGAGTCCTTTAACTGGGATAACCTGCCTCTAGGCCTTAGAAGCACTGAGGCACTGCTACTCCACGTCGAATATTTGGGATTGTACAACGCCAAGCACTACTCCTTTTGAATTGCAGTCCAGAAAATATACATTTTAGTACTATTTGTTAGGTATACATTCCACAAAAACAGGCTATAGTTCATAGGTAAAGACTTCTTAAAAACCTTGATCAGATTACCGTGTTTCCATCGACATGCTCAGCATATGTATCGCACCCGCCAGCCACATCGCTTCCACCTCTTTTCTCTGTCATCCATTGTCCCGAAGTCCAAGCTTTCTTCCCATCGATAGAACACAGACGAGCGATTGACTCTGCCGCCAAGTCATGTTTCCCTTCAAGCCCAAGGGCCTGAAAGTGTTTGGGTTAAGGGAAGGAGTAAGAGGATCGGAGGAAACCATTGCCCTTCAAAGTCTGAAGCCAATTTCACTACATATGCTTGACAGTGCTCCTAAGGGTAAGGTTTGCTCCTGCTGCGATTTTAAAAAGTTCTTAGATCACTGAAATCGACAAGGGTGGTTTTGAAAAAGATTAGTTGGTATAATCCAAATCTGATGAAATCGCAAGTTCAGTTAGTTCAGTAAAACCAATACCTTCAAGGTCTTAACAGCTCCATCAGTCATTGCCATTGGGCATGTGGTCAAGCCAGCGGATGGCGAAAATAGGTAAATTTTCGCGAACTGTAAGTGCTCATACTTCACCCACGATTTGAAAATGTGACGGAAAAACTAAGGAAAGTAACAAAAAAAAGGACAAAAAGTAATTGCAAGAAACCTGATGAATACGTCTCACAAACGGTTGAACGTCCTTCTTATAACCAATGGCTAAAAATACAAAATTTATGTGAACAGTCATAGATAGCAATAGATTTTCAACTCAGGGACAAATTTTACTTCGAATTGAACCATTGAGTCAAACAAGAAGGATGTAATAGAAACACAAGTGAATTAAAACTAAACTCACAAATCAATCCTTCTTCTGCACAAATTTCCTTGAGACGGTACCATTCAGGGCAAACAATCAACTGGTCTACCTTAAACCAAAAACCCCTTTCAATGAGCAAAGAGAATACAAAGGAATCTTGTATAACGGCTCTCACCCTTCTACCCCATGCATCGAATGGCTCCAACTTCGGCTGATTCAGCTCACATTTCCTGCCGAGACAGTCAATTTCCTTCACAATGCGTTCACCGAATCGGCTCAGATCTTTTTCGACCTACAAAACTTCCAAAAGTTATCGTCAGATCTAGAATTCGGTCAGACCCTACATTTTGGTAGTCATGGTCAAGGAGGATCCTCTTGAGCGTCCGTTNCTTCGAGTTGAATTAGTGAGTCAGTCAGAAGTATTTATTAGAGACACGAGCGAAATCGTTCCTGAACTCACAAATCAATCCCTCTTCAGCACAAATCTCCTTGAGACGGTACCATTCAGGGCAAACAATCAACTGGTCCACCTTAAACCAAGAACTCCTTCCAATGTGCAAAGAGAATACAAAGGAATCTTGTATAACGGCTCTCACCCTTCTACCCCATGCATCGAATGGCTCCAACTTCGGCTGATTTAGCTCACATTTCCTGCCGAGAAAGTCAATTTCCTTTACAATGCGTTCACCAAATCGGCTCAGATCTTTTTCGACCTACAAAACTTCCAAAAGTTATCGTCAGAACTAGAATTCAGTCAGACCCTACATTTTGGTAGTCATGGTCAAGGAGGATCCTCTTGAGCGTCCGTTTCAGCATAGGATCATCATCGAATGGATTGTGCAGTACAGGTGGATTCTGAAATAGTAGATGGACGTTTAGAAGAGATGTTTATCGAACAAACCAGAATCTTTAGCAAACCTGTGCAAAATCGCCAAGTTTTGCGTGACGATATGATGCTGCCAGTGAACTCATCCTTAATGAAATGATCTCAAAAATGTTATAAATATTTATTTTTGCAGAAGAATGTGTACGTAGCGTGAAAGTCGTGCTTGATTTTGCTAGCGCTGGAGCCATTAAGTCTCCAAACTTAGAACACTGCCGTATTTTGTGCTGGTGACTATTTACACGCCGTAAATCTCTTTTGAAGTGACAGATGGTTGTTACTATCATTGTAATGCACGTTTGGTGCACTATTATCAATTATCTGGTAGAAAACATTACCCGACACGTAGATCATCTTTTCTTAGCACAATGGGTTAATATCAGTTCACTCATAATGCCTAGTGATAATAGTTCTTTTGAAACTGCACCCGCAAGAAGCGCTTCAGCACTGCCGTAGCGAACCGAACATTTATATAGGTCGAACACAACTTTCAAGGCCACTGGAGACTGAATGGAAATCGATCTAGTGAACGCATTCCAAAAAGAGATTGATCAAACCCAACAAAACGTTGCCTATGGTCTTCCAAGGAAAAATAGGTGGCATTAGAAACCGAAGTCTCTTCCCACAAATAGAGCTGCTCGAAGTGTACGAAATAAACAGAACAAGTTCATCTCGGTAAACTCGGTCATTCATCGAGAACCTCCCAACTTCAAGAAGCAGTGAGGTCGAGTCTATTTTGTTCTGGCACGCTCCGTTCCTTTCGAGCAATTTGTAGGAAGCGTAATGAATTAGCAAGAAATAGTTAGGAAGCATAATGAGAGATGAAATTCAAGCAGCAATCGCACGAAATCCAAAAAACCAATTTTCAGTCCCTTTTCCTAATGATCTAATTTCGCAATTGAAGATTTGTACACACAACAGAGAAAAGGTTACAAGGCAATGGACAACGACATGAGCGCAAGAAAAATAGCATGGAATGTAAGAAAACTATAGAAATCAAGAGCAGTCACCTGATAACTCCCAAATGAGAAACCGACGGTCTGAGCGGCATGTTGTCGCCGATAACAATTAGCCAGTAAAATGAACAAAGTTAATGGCGCCCTGTCTAATCGATGTTACGCTCCATTTTCTGAACACGAAACTTTGACAAAAGGTCATTCGTTGGTGTTCCTTCTATGATTGAAATGGAGAAGAGCTTCTAGTAAAACACGTTGAAAATAAGGTCATTAACGTTTACGGATACTTCAAAAAACAGGTTTCTAGTCAATGTTCTTCAATCGATCCCAACAATCTCCCCGAAATGCCCGTCCGTTTTCACTTCAATGATATTGTCGAAAAGAGCGAGTCATGCTAAAAATCGTCCAATCGATAGCCACCGGGAAACGGAGTGACAGCTGTTCAGTCATCACAACATCAAGACGATTTAATAGAAATTTATGAATATTATTCACAATTGTACAAGTTGCACGGTCAAAGAGTCAATAAACTGCTATTCAAAGGAGGACAGTATCAAGGTATGATCGTTGTATGAATGAACCTGCAATCTTTCAAATGTTTCAACCTATAGCCAATACCAAACGGGTCTTTTACAAAACCTGCCACTAACAGAACACAGGGTAGTGAAAAGTGATAAGCAATTAAGTGAATGAAGAAATAAAAAAAGACAAGGCACAACAATAGTAGTGAGAATAATAAACGTCAGCTACCAACGGAGTGATATTCCTCATCCTCGACAAGAACTACATACATTAATACGTACTCTTTGTAACAGATTCACTCTGCCTGATGCATAGTTTTCATTGTCAACGCTCCAGTATCTGAAAAAAAAAAGAATTATGGAAGTCATTATCAAACATTCGCGTTCATAAAGACGAGGAGAAGGAGAAAGCGGAGAAAACACGTTTTCTTATTGAGGCAGTATCATAACTGGGGGCCCATCTCAAACGAAATCCCCCCACTTGCTAGGAAAATACTGAAATAATTGAATACTTCTTAGTCGAGACTAGTTATTATGCGGATGTATGGCAAATCGTCGACGCGTAAAAAGAAATGCTGTTAGCACTACTAGATCGAAGAAATGGAATAATAGTATCATTCAGCGTAGCAGAGCAAAACATTATAAAAGACTTACTCAGAATTATGCTGACGGCAGCAAAATGACAAGTTCAAAGGAAAAAAAAGGCTATCAAGAGCAGTTCAGTATGTTAAAGCCGAAATGAACATTAACGACTTCGATCTCAAAAAGCAAATAGTTACTTTGCAGGTAGGCACATTCATTGATGAATCGTTGTTTAGAAAAACTGCACAAGTTGTTCTAAAGGCAGGAATGGGCTAAAATCATCTGATAGCGGAGAATTCCTCTGCCAATCGTAATTGCTTAGGGACAAAAAGTCAAAGCGCAAATGATAAAAAACAACAGGTCTAGCATCTAGTTCCAAATCGCTACTACCAGCTGATCATTGCATTACTGAGTTAAGAAGGAACCCAGCCGCAGAAAGCGTCTACCAAAACTTAACCCTCACAACTACCCGTACCTGACAATGGGCGCTCTGAGCTCATCACGTAGTCGTTGAGCCACTTGTTGAAAAAGAACATCCACATTGGTAGAATCCAGAGCTGAGGTTTCTATGAAGTAATCGAAACGATTTGCTGTGGCGAAATCTCTGGCTACCACTGTAGGGACTTCACGATCTTGAACTTCATCCACTTTATTCCCTAAACAATGAGAATTTAAGCATGAGAAGATTTTTGATTCGAAAAAAAAAAACAATAAATGTTATCATGGAGGGTAAAATGTTAAGTTTCGAGTACGATGAATCTCCTTTCGGAATACACGACAACATAGACTTCCATTCATGGTCGGTGATGCATGAATACGTTTAGCGTCCTTTACGTTTCCAGGCGAGTTTTTAGTAACTACCAATCGAACTCTCAATTCAGGGATTCGATCTCATCCTTCCCATCGCAGCGTGACTCAGCATTACTCCTACCCCTGCGTGAAGATGTGAACGGGTGTAAACGTATTACTAGGTTACTATTTCCAGTAATTGAAAAATGCAGTTTTCAGAGAAAGGCGGACCACAAAAACGATCATGATCAGCAAAAAAAAAGAGTAGGTGAAATGTATGCTGCTTAAAAGGGAAATCACCTAGTTGCCCACTTGCTCTTACAATGACATGGATGACCAGAATTAGCGCAACATGCGGGAAACCTAGGGGATTTATACTTTATAATCCTTCGCTGGAGAGCACCTTCTTTGATGTCCACCTTCCTGCAAATTTGTTTAACTCTTCATGCAGTAATTATAGGAAACAGCAGAAAATGCGTTTTAGTCTGCATCTGACAGCGTAGATAAGTGGATTAAAAGGGCACAACAGCTAAAAAGGTGGGATCAAGGCGAACCTTGAACCTGCCCTTCATTTTAGCATCATTACCATTTAAAAGCGATTATGTTAGATAATCCAAACTTACCTACCAAAATTTTCAGTACTCTTCCACAACAGTGTCGTTCTACCTCGTCCATCCAATCTGGCAGTCTGTCGAATGAACGTTGGTGAGTCAGATCGTAAACAAAAATCACGGCTTGTGCGTTACGATAGTACAGGTGAACAATGGAACGGAAACGCTCTTGACCAGACGGGTCCCAAATTTGCAGCTGAAATCGATTTTTTGTGAAAGTGTAAATGAACGAGTTTGATGTAAACAAAAAAGTTCAAAGTATAAGAGCGAGAAATAGATGGCAGTCACTATGAAAAAAGCGCATTTCCACATATTGAGTAGTGATTGCTGATAGTGTCACGAATGGCTTCGAACAATTCAATCGATGAGGCAACGAAATGAAGTGTTCACCTTAACTCTGTCCTTGTCTATGTTTACCGTTTTTACCTTAAAGTCAACCCCAACTGTCGCAAGGGTGCCATGATGGAAAAAACCCTAAAATAAAACAAAAACAATATAGGAAAAGCTTCAAAGAATCAAGTTACCTACCTGAGTATACCGCTGTAGGATACTCGTCTTTCCCACACCGGTGCCTCCCACGAGAATGATTTTGAACAAGTATTTGTAGTCCTCCATTCACTTGTATCTAAAGGGAAATAAAGGAACATTCAAATGGAAATAGCCGATAGACAATGATTACGAAATCCTGGAAAAATATTTTTTCTTGTAGAAACCAAATTGTAGCGCAATCGCGGAGATGGTTTGCATGATGCATCCGTTGGTTTAGCCTGACACAGTCTATATTTGATGGTATACACAAAAAACAAAAAATAAAAAGCGAATGGATTCTGCCCACGTGAATTGAAGTAATGTTGAATCGCACTCACAGTTCGCTCCACAACCCTTTCATACAGCGCCCTTTCTCTTCTCCAAATCAGAGCTCACGACTTTTCATAGTTTTCTTATTTTCATACAAACCTTGAGTGACATTAGCCTTACCAGCGGATAGGAATAATAAGGGGAAGGTTTCAAGCTACACCTTGTGTGGATCATTGCCTTGTTTTGTCTTTTTCTTCGGGGTTTTGGTAGACACATATTGCACTTTGCAGCAGTTCGTCTAGGATTCAAAAAAAGAACACCGAAGCATTAGAATTTTGCAATCATTGCTTGATGACGGACCTAGAATGGATGCGTGGGAGCCATAACAATTGCAGCAAATTATTGAAATATGTACTAGTGCCCATTGTAACCATATAACATGTGGTTGCTCTCTGAAGCGTTGCACTGACAACGTTGACAAGTGTTTGCTAACATGCTAACAATTCGAAAGTGCTCTTCTTCAAAGGACGTTGTACATACTTCGACCATGAAGCGATCAAAAAGAACTTTTCATTTGAAGACACCAAAAATTACATAAAAGCTTATCGTAAGCCAGAAAACTTCGAAAATAGCCCCGGTGAAGGTAAACTGTCTGGTAAAACTTCAAGAGATAGGACGGGAATTCCAGATGAAATGGTGCTATCATAAGGCAAAAAGTCAATCAATGAAGCGCCCTCTGAATAGAAGCAAGCCTCCCATGACCAAAATGGGGTATGCATACCATATTTCAAATAGTTCTCTCTAAGTTCGCAGATGCCGTTCAATTATGATAGGCCAAAACTCTGCATTTTCAGTCAGAAATGTATGTTGAGCTAGGTAAACCTCAGAAATAGCTCAAAAAGGTCTTGAATTCAGAAGAACAACACGAAAGCCCTTGAGTTTGGACTGCGTAGTATTATTAAAATAAAACTCGCAGCATTTGATGACTGGTAGTACAAGTTTCCAAAGAGTCACCCGTTCTATCTCAAAGCAATCATTCTATAGCCAACATGGCACCAATACTACAAGAGTCTTGGAAAAGGACAGACAAACGAGCAGCGCAGAAAGAACCACATAGGTTTGATAAGACACAAACACATTGTCGCGAGAAACTTTCTATTAGAAATGTCATCTGACGTTTGCGATTCACAATTTTTTGAAATGTGTCATAGGGGTGATGTGCCCGTACCTTCCAAGAAACAAGTATGCGTGTAACTATATTTTTGTATAAAATATGGTCGAATCCTACTGAAGTACTTATGGCCTCGAACTTAGCTTTTTCTGAATATGAGCATATTTCGTCAAGTACAAGCTATGAGCCTTACTCCATCAGAAGGTGACAATGAATGGAAGCCCTTCAGACAACAGACAGAAAACATAAAATGAGTCTCTTTTTTGGAATACGAGATAGCGATGAGCAGAAAACGGGCGATAAACTCTTCAACTAGATCAGAAGACAAACTACTAAAATTATTTTTAGCGTCACCTTGCTTCAAAGTACCTTGCTGTCTAGTGATAAGGGAACTCTGAGTCACCCACCATAACATGCTGTGTATCCAGATGGAAAAAGCGTCTTAAGACAACTTTTTATAACAAAAAATATCATCACACTACGAACACTACAACCGCCTGTAGGTTTCTTTCTATAATTGTTTTTTTTTTGGGACGAGAGTGGGCGAATGTCCGTCTACTTCTTCGTTGCCGAAAAAAATGGAATTGTATAAACAAAAAAAAAACAATAATTAAGTATAATAAAGATACGTATCAGTAAGCAGCAAGACGAAGCAATGATGTGCCTGCTATTTCATAAAATTAACTTTGCTCAGCTCCGTCATGAAAACGAAGGTGTCACCACCACGAAACATCAACAAATTCTTCTTATTTCGAATAATTTTCCCATCTAAGCTTCTTCTTCTTTCCGTCACTCCTATCACTGTTTTGATGTAAAAAGTGATACATGTAGTGAAGCAGTAAACTAGAAATGAATTGCCACAATCTCAAAACTTAGACGATAAGGAGCACAGAGGCAAGCCCCCTCTCCCCTTCACCTATGGAGGACGCTTCGCAGTTAGTTTTTATGGAACAAAAATCAGAAATTCGAAACATCAGAAACGAATCTTCCTTGGAAGCTTATCTGAATAAACTAACCAGTATCAACTCCATGATTGGCAGCACCGATACTGAACTCATAGAGGGTTGTGCATAGCCTTGATGATAAATTACAGACCAATTGACCTATCGTCTTCATCGTGTGAAAGTGTTCAGCTAGAACCGTGATTTTTGATTGAGAAAAACTCGTGGAAAATCATCATGTAACTCGAGCGATTATTTTTGAGAACCACAAACCTCTAGCGAGAATGAAATGACTTCCCAAACGGCAACTAAGAGAAAACATTATCAATGTTCAAAATACAAGGAAACCCTCAGCGGATAGTTTAGCGCTTATGTAATCATTGTCTACAATCCTGTTATGAAAATTTATCAATAAGTTGAGTTTAGAATTTGAACAACAATAAGGATCAAATTGACCAATTATAGCAACTTTCTTCTAGGGAAGAATTCTATGCCAAATGCCGTTGTAATGAGTAATGTACCACAAAAGTGACTCTGGATGTGAAAGCTGATCTCGAGTTTGCTTCGCAAATTCACAAAGATTTTCTTTGAACAAACATGTGATGGTAACTTCTACATGAAGCTTCCAGAATAGAATAGAGGAGTGGGTGGACGTATGTATTCGTAATCGCTAGAAGGCATGAGCGTATGAACCTGTCAGCGGGTTCATCTGCTAAAATTTTCGTCCTTTCTTAGGAGCGGCTTTAAAAATAGCATTTTAAAGAACCCGAAATCGAGGATGCGACAATTTCGACAAACAAAGGATATACGAGCAAGGGCGGGTTCAACTGAAAAGTCATGAATAAAAAAGGAAGATAGACCAGAGAAAACAGATCTTATAAATTACAGTCTGGGCAAAACTTCGAAATTATCGTAGACACGCACCTCCACCATCCACTCCTCAATATATTGAAAACTGCAGAAAATATCCCATAACAATTCCGTTCAAAGACTTGTGCTGCATAACATTTAAGAAGAGGACCCGGTATCGGCTTTCAGACATCCTTGATAGAATTTTTTCCAAACAACGGCTTCAACCTGGGAGACTTCCCCGGATTTCTTCGATAGCAATCTCAATGAACATACGTTTCAACGTGAGTCAAAACATGCAAACCGAGTGAGCAACGAGCAGGCGCAGCGTAAAACGTAAGACATTGAATTGGACAACCTTTAAAGGCAGATTCGTTAAAACAAAAAAAAAAAGATTCAAGCGATCACCTAGAGATGCTGAGTGGAATACTAACAAAACAAGAAATCTCAGAATACCTCCAGAGGTGTATCACAGGAAATACCGGCACTTAGAACTGCGATTATATCAACCCTCATCAATTGAAATTTAAAAAGGAATACAAGCTGCCATGCAGACAGTTTGATCTGCTAATGTTAGCTAAACATATTTGGTTGGACAATTATACAACATAACAAGTAATATAGATAGAAGTACGATGCAAAATTGTGAACATTCAAAACATAAAAAAAAATAATCCTACGGATTTTCACGTTCTTCCACAACATGAGTTCACAGTTTGTTGAGCCCGCTCTATTAGATTAACTGGCTGCACGCCAATGCTGTGGTCCGTTTTGAAGTTACTATATCTGGAAGAACTGGAAAGGAATATAATGAATAAGTTTGATCGAGAAGTAGATAGATCAACATGAAAATCTCGAAAACGCTGTTTCTGTGTTATGAAGGTCATAGTCCCGACTGGTTTTTTGAAGGTTTGGCCAAATTTGAAAAATAGACTATGATCCGTGCCAATTGGCGAGCAACTAGCAAACATTAAGTCGCTAAGCAATCCGAATACATCCATCCCATACGCCCATTCTTTTCAGCAGCTCTGGTTGAAACTATTGTTCACTTACGATGGCCAACAAGTAATAAATAGCAACAGTAGCAAATATCAGGAGCCTCTGTGAAGTGGCTGCGCGCAGTATATGAACGGTATAAAATGGTGAATAAATCAATATGAACCATCGAGGTGCCATTGATAGAATCGCTCGATTTTCAGAAGCTCTCAGTGACATGAGAAACCACGATGTTATCGACGAGATCGGTGAATAATGTGGAACAATGTGACAGGTGACTAACCACATAATAAATAGCGTCATTAAAATGAATGCTGCGTTAGGGATTAGAAACATCAATCACTTTTACGGCGAGATTTCAATCAAAATAACTCTTTTACACCTTTCGGAATTGTAATTGCTCCACTCTGAGAAAATATATTCAAAAAACTAAAGCTCTGGCCTACCTCTGGTCAGTGGCTTTCATGGAGTTAGTGAGTCTTCGAGCCACATGTTCGAAAAGATTATCAACATTAGTCGCATCTAGGGCAGATGTCTCGAGAAAGTAGTCAAATCCATTAACTTCAGAAAAATCTATGCCGACTCGTTCTGGCACTTCACGTTCATCGTCTTTATCTACTTTATTCCCTGAAACCATTATAGTCTGAAAATGCGAACAGTAATGTGGAGCAACAGCAAGCAATTGTAAAGATCAAAACTCTTAGCCCTTAGCTTAGCATGCCTTTCAATCCCTCTTCACAACCGTCAACATCATTTAGGGGGAGTAGCCCCTAATCGTTTCACCCTTCATGCAGATTTGCGACTGATGCAGTCCGGTTTCACGGATTAAATACTTACATTTAACACATTCCCTCGATTCCAAAACAGAAAAACGATTTAAAAAATGGAAAATGACTGACCTACTAAAATTTTGAGTACTTTCCTATTAGCATAAGATTCTATCTCGGCCAGCCATTCAGGTAAACAATCAAACGTTGGTTGACTAGCCACATCATAAACCAGTACTATGGCATGAGCACTGCGATAGTAACTCTGGGTGATCGATCGAAAACGTTCTTGACCAGCAGTATCCCAAATTTGTAACTGAAAGGAATTAGGTAAAAAAGTAATAAGTTAGGTAATAAATGCAACTAGTTTAGCATATCAGCAACAAAATATGCAAAACTTTAAAAAAAGGTTTGTGACCTAGAATTGTGGGAGGAGACAAACGGCAAACACTTTTCGAATGTATGCTATGTAATTTGAATGCCTTTCTTTTTACCCGTTTTCAAAACAGTAGGCACTGTTTCACATTTTATTGAGCGACTTCGATACATGAAGGCAAATAGATATCATTAAGAGAACCACTAAAAGCACATCAAAATTCGCTTGCACTGCATACCAGGGCAAAGATGTAGAAGCAAGCCTGTCTCAGCGCATAAAGGGGGAAAACTTCTAAGTAATCGAAACTCTTCGCAGGATGTGCACTCCTTTATATATATCGAGAGATATAAAAAGTGTAAGTAACTGATAAGGAAGTTCTGAGTCATTGAATAGCAAGAAAAATTCAGGGAAAAAATGTACCTTTATCTTGTCGTTATCAACTTTCACTGTCTTTATCATGAAATCGACACCGATTGTTGCACTTTGGCCAGGCGGAAAAATGCCCTGCAAGGACTAGCTTAACTATAAAATTGAGCAGTAGTTTTGAAAAAGGCCACTAGTAAGTTTAGCATAGGCTTTTTGACAAAAACTACCTAGCCTGTCTGTTCTTATTACTTATTTTTCTACTTTACAGCCTCTCTACTACAAATAGGTTTGTATCTAAATTCGCTCACATAACGGCTTAGGAAGATTCAAAACGGATGGGAACTGAGGCTGTAAAAGCAAACAAGAAGCAGAAATAACCTGTGTGAACTTCCGTACGAGACACGTCTTCCCAACACCAGCATTACCAACTAGCACCACTTTGAATAAGTACTTGTAGTCTTCCATCTTTTTCCAAGCTCAGAAGAAAAAGGCTGAGCGGCGAGACAGATAGGAACCCGCTATCAGCGTGAGACGATGACGATAAACGATCTATGATCCTCAGCTGACCGTCGAACTCACTGTTCAGGCGCCAACGATAGAACTGAAAACACGCCCATCACCCATAGCTGGCACGGTTGTGACGTGCATAGTAACGAGTTAACAATGGCAGAGAACAGAAACGGAAATCCAGAAAGGGAATCTGTTCCCTACAGCAAGCTTGAGGTGGAACAAAATGCACAAGATGCAGAACTTCGCGACTAGCACACTGTATTCTACGGCATAACCTTCTTTGAAGCCTTATCTGAATATACAGATTTATTTCCGTCACATTTACGACTCACTAAAGAAGACCATGGGCCAGGGTAATGATAACTAGATAGCTGACCATGTCCGCCAACGCAGGGGTTCTGGTCAGGACCCGCGGCTGTGGTGGTGTAGGATTACGAACTCACTTCTCGGTCTTTCTCTTGAGAAATTGGTTGGATTGATAAGTGGTGGTTGGTTTCAGAATCTGGGGAGATTTGCAGCAAATCTAGAAGACGTCAACCGAAGGAATGAATAGGTAGAAATGGTGGTTTTTTGTCTGCAAGCTATGATCAATACGCATGTTAAACAAACATCTCTATGGCTGGGTAAATGTATATTGATAACGGACAAGAGGCTATTGTTCAGTTGTTCATTGCCATAGGCAAAAAGCGGTCAAAACTGAATGAGGGTCGCAACTGCTGATGGTGAGTTTGTACGATCTGTCAGACGTCGGGTGAACAGCACAAGCATCACATCAATTAATTATGCACGAAATGGGAATCAAGATAAGAGCTTCGTGAAGGATTGGAAGGCAGATGAGTGGCAGAAGTCCTCTAAGGGCACGGAGGATTTTGAGGAGCTCGAAGAGAATGTCAATCTGATCCACAGGCACACGATGCCAGACGAGCGCCACATAGAGCTTCTGGGCGACCTACTTCACATCATTTTCAAAATGCTCCTCCATATCGTGAAGATCTCCCAGCCGGAACAGTTAGAAAGTACACTTATATTGCGATGTGCGAATGGCAGCATTCATTGTTTGCTCTGACACATACCAGACGTCCGCTTTGCGTTGACCACGACTTGAATGCGGTCGATCAATATCCACAATTTGAGTGTGGCGACGTAGAGGCGTAAGGACGTACGTCAGCAAGGTGCCCACGCAAACTATGAATGCAACCAATCGCTGCTACCCAAACATAACGCGATCGTTTTGTTTGTTATTGTGTGTTCCTAGTGTATGGATTGTGTGCGCAGTAATAGCTACTTCACGCATCCATCGCGCCGTGTCACACCCGAACGAGCTTTCGTAGGGCGTTCCACTTCGTTGTTCAACCAGTCAGACATCGATTGCCTGGCGTTTGATTTCAAGTTAGCACCCTGTAGGGCCTCAGAGCCAACTTAGAGGCACAGTTCACGATAATTTTGGGTTATCCATATTATGAAGAAAAATGGATGATATGATGGAAAATAGTGCGATGTAAGCGAAAAAACTGTGTGAATCGGTGTTCCCAAAGTGAACAAAGGCCTCGAAAAAATCGTTAAAAAGGAGGCTGGACGAGAATGCCACCAGAAAATGAAGAAGAATGGGGCGTTTGGACGAGCTATAGGCTGTGTGTCTGTGCAACGAGTAGATGACCACGGTCAGGGAAAATTCACTCACCCATAAGCATGAGTTAGCAAAAAAAACCCTAGTAACAACAAAAATGCCTACCTTTTTTGGCCTCTTGTGATAGAAAACTAAATAA